GACACATGGACCCAGCCAGCTTGCGCATCAGAGTCTGATCGATCCATCGGTAGCAAACGATTATGTTGGTTTGTCATGGCGTGGCTCATTTTATTTTTCCTATGCTTCATACTAGGACATACAAAGTCTTAATTAGTTTTATTCATTAAAACATCACAACAAAACAGTAATGTTCTTTGCTGGTAGAGAAAGACCTCTGGTGCACCATCCGTGCACAAACGGTGACATGAGTTAATTCACCGACGTCCCGTAAGGCAGCTCATGAACTAATCTTAAGACCCTGGCGGGATTCTAACCCACAGCGACAAGGGAACCAAATCAGCCACCATATTCTACTGTATGTTTTGTTTTCTTTCTTTCTTATTAATATTATCAATTTTATTTAAAGTATGATTGGTTTTATAAGTTTTCTCCTTTTTTTTCTTATTATGTTTTGCACTTATTTTTGGCAAATAATACGCACTTTTTAAATAGCATGGTTTAAGAATCAATAAATGCCATTTCAATGCCATAAAATTAAATACGAAACAGACAAATCAGAGTTTCTAAGTTGTTCCATATCCGTTTAAACTATTTTGCCAGCCCTATGCATTAAAACATACCTCAAAAATAAAGAAAGAATGGGTCTAAAAACAATTGCATAAGTATATGGGTCGAACCATAGACCTCTAACATATAAGGTAATCACTCAACCGACTACTCTTTTGCTGATATGACCAGATCCTAAACATTTAGATAGTGTGACTTTTCAAAACATTAGTCATTTACTCCATATAAATTCTCGTTATCTATATGGACAGAACCGAAGTGGAATCGAATATCTAAATGAGTGCTATAATGTATTCATAATTAACAGGTCAATAAAATCAGACTATAAATACCATTCAAATCAATACAAAATATCATATCATTGATAAATGTACATGTACTTGAACAGTTTCATATACATTGAAACTTACCTCGTTATTTTACATAATTTTGTATATATGCTGGACCTGCAAGACCGATTGGTCCCTTTAGCAAATTATGATTATTTTATGCAGGAAACTTTTCCAGCTAGCATTAAGAAGGCTTATGGTTTAACACAGGTTACAGTTAGGTCTAAAAATATGCACGGATGAGCATATATATATATAAGGTATTGTCCTCATTAAAAGCTTTTAAAGTCGCCTTATGACTTATAACTAAAGTATTCATTTTATTTGATTGTTGTAACCTTTTAATATAACCATATACATTGAATAAGACTGCATCAGACATTTAAAGAGTAAATAGTTTTTATTGGTCTTTTTATTTATATTTTCCATAAACAAAAACTATATAAACTCTCAAATAAACTTGGATTTTCGTTTGTAAATAATGCAAAAATAATTGACCAAGTTTCGTATGACATTATTTAACAGAATATGATCCATTATTTACTCATCAAATTACCGATGCAGCTTCTTTATTATCAACAAGGTCGGACACCACTAAATATGTTCTTATGAAACAAGGATCTTCAAGGATCAAGGATCTGTGCGCTTATGGTTCCATACTTATGTATCGAGTGACACTTGATTAAAGGGAAATAAAGATAAAATTTATGACAGCATAGAAATTTATAAAAGAACTAAAACATGATACGCATACTGCATAGACAATTGATTTGTACATATACATGTATTATAAACATTAAGTTAGTAAATAAAAACAGACGGAGGAGAAACTAGCTAATAACAGCAAATGATTACCATAATTACCCATGGTAAATTTACGTTTTGAATCAGTCCGAAGTAATCCGATGTCTGAAGAAATCAGCTACAGTTATAACATATATATCGTTATACATATATAATTAGGCGAAAGCAATAGCATTAAATATCTTCTTTTTTCTTGGAAGCGTTTTATTTCCACAATCCTCTCCCGCATAATCTATATATTATTTCATTATTATTTAAGGCATTGTCTGCTTATTACTTATTCAATGAGGTTTTTATTTATATTGTTATACCAAGAAATGTTAATACATTACAGGGTAAAGTTGATCACTTTAATTTCAAACATAAAAAAAACATCAATTGTCCCATATTATTTCGTAAACTTCACAAAATCATATTTTTGTATGATGAGTATAAAACTTATATGACCATACTCGTATATGATGATGGATATGATTCGTAGTGATTCAGGTTATATCATGGTCTTTAGCATATGACCTTAAACAGTTCTCTACAACAGGCATGTAAAACAACAGTAAATAACCATCTATAAACGAGACTAAATCATTTATATTGGATTAAGATTAAATCACTCCTTTAATTTTTAAATTGTTATGATGTCCTCATTTGAAATAAGATAAGATAAGAAGTGCTTACGTTAGCAGTAACAAAATTAAATAAGATAACGTCGATTAAGGTCCAAAAGTGTCATCATGAATAGTTAAGTACATTTAAAACTATTTGTTAATTTATTTGTTTTTACATTGATTTATGTAATTCTCGTTCTCGTTCAATATGTAAACATTGGACATTAGATATAAGTTTAAATTATTATACAAACCAAATTCATGCTTCAACATAATATGGTGGCTGATTTAGTATCCTTTTGTGCGTCTACTTGGCGCTAGCGAAAACACGACAAAGCGCAAAACAGCGCGTTGTCGGACTTTCGTCTTACCAACGCGACGCACAAAAGTGTACCAAATCAGCCACTATAACATAAAACTTCGTTTCTCAGGCAAATATGAGAATACTGTAACGTAATTACATAAAGTCAGTAATCAGTATATATTGTACAGTTATTACACTAATATGGCTAATTGTGTGGCTGTAACACAGGCATCTGTTGAACAGACAACGACAAATATGTCACAAATTTAATAATGAAGCGTACATGACATGTTCATGTACAGTTTGCATAAATATAAAAAAAAGTTTGGTGTACGTTTAAAAAATCATTATTATTATCATCATCATTATTATTTATCTATTTATTTTCTATTTAGTTATTTATTTTATTGTTTTGTTTTATTGCATTCCACAAATAAAGTGAAAGGTCAGTTGTATTACTATTATACGATTGGAATATTAAACGTTCTTTTTCAGTTTCATTGCTCCTGGCTACATTAATCATTATCAGCTCTATGCATTGTAAGTAACTCATGTATAGTTGTGTTATACTACTAGTTTCTTATTAATTAAAAGCGTTTCACTGACGCATATGACCGTATTGTTTTGTTTCGATTTTTACAATCAAAATGTTTCAATCAATCTTATCGATAAGTTGTGTGGAAGCTATTCAACAGGCTTACAGAAAATTGGTGTTTCTACTCAGATGCAGGTTTGTGCCTGAAATAATGCACGGAGGGTACCCGAGTTCTTCCTCCACAAATCAAGCTGGAAAGTCACCATATGACCTGAACAGTGTTGGCGCGATGTAAAACCCATCCAAAGAATAATATCTAGTCTAAGAGAATTTAAAAGGTTGTTTTCATTTTTTTTATCAGGGGTCGATTCTTTGTTGTGTTATTCATGCAGTGATTTGAAAAGCAATGAGGAGTGTTTCAACACCACTATTTGTCCGGACGGAGAGGTAATTTAATTAATACTTTATTAATGTTATGTTGTTATGTCTGTGCAAAAGCGTTAGTTACACGTTACCTTAAGATCGACCTGAGGTCATTTTTAGTCTCTCACAAATCCAAAATTTTCACGTCCCATCCCCCCTCCCTTAATGTACCGTTTGGATAAGTGGCGGTGCCGAAAAAGAGATCATTTATTGGTATTTTGTGACAACATTCACGGTGATAAGGCGTTTACCACAACTTTTCCGCGCAACATCAAATTATCATACTTCTGACCGAGACACTGTATCTTTCTGTCATACAAAATGAATTTCAAGCCTGCATACGACAAAAAAGCAGAACGAATATAAAGTTAGCTCCCTATTCCTTATTCCTTTTTCGAATAAAGAATAACAAATTCTTATCTATTTTTCGAATAAGGACTAGGGAACTAGTTCCTGATTCATTATTCAAATCTAAATAAGGAAGAGCAAAATTAGTATTTAAATAAATTTAAATTATGATTGATCAGAAAAATAGAACGGTTCTTTCTTTCATTAATATGTTGAAAATTGCACAAATCAATCATCAAAATCATAGACCAAATCATCTGCATCGATATATTTCTAAACACTATTTTAAGTCGAACAAGGAATAATAAACCCGTTCCTTATACCTCATTAAAATAATTGCATAAAGCCTCTGCATATATTATTTTTAAAATGTGTAAAAGCCGAATAAGGAATAAGGAACCAGTTCCTTATTGCTTATTTAAATCCGAATAAGGAATAGAAGAAGATATGCCAATAGAGACAACAGTTGCAAACTTGCAGTTATTTTGATAAACCTGCATTAGAATTCCAAGGAACAGTCATTAAAATCATTAAATGAAGCATTTGCATCAAATACTAGTATTTTGGGGGGAAAATGTTAAAGTCGAATAAGGAATAGGGAACCAGTTCCTTATTCCTTATTCAACTCCGAATAAGGAACAAAAGAAAATACGTAAAGAAAGACATCAGTTGCAGTTATTTTTGATAAACCTGCATTAGAATTGCAAAGATCAATCATGAAAATCATTGCATAAAGCATCTGCAAATATTTGAAAGAAATTTCAAAGTCGAATAAGGAACAACTTGCAATTCTAATGCAGATTTATCAAAAATAACTGCAACTGGTGTCTTTCTTTATGTATTTCCTTCTGTTCCTTATTCGGAGTCAAATGAACTTGAACATTTTTTTTTCAAAATATTTGTAATATTCAAATGTTATTCAGGGAATAAAAATGGTCAAAAGCTTCACATAAAAGTTTCTCCAGTGTTTTGAAATGTATGTTTGCATTTCTAAGTAATAACTTTTTTTGAAAATGAGTTTGCTAGCAAATAATACTAGTCTATTCAAATGCCATGTAAAATGTTTCGAAAATGATAAAATAAAATTGATTTTCGTACATTTATATTAGGCCTGCTATGGTCGAGCGGATGGATTTTTAACATCAGAAGTAAAACACACAACTGGATGCACAAAGGAGCTTGTAATGTCTTTTATTATTATTATAAATACAATATACATGTACTGCAATATTGTTTTTTTTTACTTTTAGTAACAAATATTGTTGACCGCTAAACTTTTAAGTGAACGTTACTTCTAGAAATACAACATCAGTCTTTTTTAAGCTGAATTTTTATTACTCTTTTTTGTAATTTAAGTTTATATATTCATAAGCTATGTTAAACCCTTGTTAATTCTCAAATTTAGCACATACGAATAAGTCACACGTATGAAAATAGGAACGAATTTTTTACACATTGCAATTACTTACAATATATTGCAACAACCTCATAGGCCATACGAAATTTAAGCATACATGTACAAGATCCTTTTTAATTGCAGATAATACAACTTGCTGGAAACGAAAATCGAAAATGGGTTTACAATTTTCAAAAATTAACTAACTTGTTTACAACTATTAGATAATGTTGCGACTCCGGTCTTCTTGCAATGTGGGTTAGTTTAAACAACAGTATACTAAATTTAAATAACTTTGTCACGTATTCATACGTATTTGTCACACGTTGTGATTAATTCGTACGTATTTGTCATATCTTGTGAAAGTTGAGGTTCAACAAATACCAAATCGGGTGAAACATAATTTTACTTTTTACAGAAGCCACAACGAAGGAATGACTCACTGGGATATTCTTTCTGTGCAAAAACATGCCGTGACAATCTCTGCAATTTGCACAGCTGCCAGCTCTTAGGTATATATGTAAAAACATGTTTCTGATTTACTTATTTCATGTCTTATTCATTATCTATTACACTTTTTCATTTAACAAAATAAAATGATTTCATTTTTAAGATAATTCAACAAAACCTCCACGATGTCTGGCCTGTGATTCGGTAGATTCACCAAGTCTGTGCAAGAAAGTCGTTCAATGTAACTCTAATGAGGTAAGCAGTCAGTATTACATTTTAATGTTTAGTGAATATATTGATAAGAAAAAGAATTTGTTATTTCATGCAAATATGTTAAACAAAACAAACGCTATATCTCTGCAAAGTAACGAAAGATGAAAGCCATTCAAAATATGACCAGAAAACAAAGTGGTTCCCTAAATCACACATCTTTATTCTTGTGACTGCGTATTCGAGATAAAGAAGGTTACAGTTTATTGACATGTGTAACTGTACGTGAAATGCTAACATGTGTGTGTTTTTAAGTTTATTTATACTGGGCACCGGCTATGTCATATGTCCGAGACTATCGGCGTCTGTTGGTCGTAGAGCCGCTACGGTGGACTAAGTTTAATCGCTTCTATACCACGCCTACTAAACGGTGGCTTTTTCACATTTTGGTGATCTGTTTAAAAGAGAGCCCTCGACACTTCCGTTATAGAGCCATCGGCCAAAACAGAAGAAGGTAAACACAGTTTATAAAAAACATCCGACTTTAAAAATATGTCGATGGCTCGGTCACATTTGAATAAATGTAAATATTTTATTTCTAACCAAGCTCTTTTTTGTGTTGAGCCAAAGGTGAGGTAGGCACAATGTTACATGTAAGATAATGTGGGTCAGTATTAACTTTTAGTAGAGAAATCACTCAAGATGTGTCTCCTTGCGAAAGGAAACACACAAGTTATTATTTGGTTAAAGTTCCAGCAACGTCATTTTAGAGTATTTCGTATCAAAACTGCATACAAACTGATGAGAAAAATGTTCTACGTGGTTTAGCATTCTTCGATTTTTGAAAAAGAAGCATATGTTTACCTTCTTCTGCTTTGCTTTGGCCGATGGCTCTATAACGGAAGTGTCGAGGTCACTCTTTTAAACAAATCACCAAAATGTGAAAGAGCCACCGCTTAATAGGCGTGTATACGTCGCTGATCAGAGGTCTTCTCAAGCTGTCAGTTGTCGTAGAGATCTTCTCCCCAGGATTAAATTCTTCGCATTGTAGAACTAAGGAAGACAATAGTTGAAAGGCAGCTCTTCCTGGAGGCAGTAACATCTTTTCAGAGCCCTTCGCCGTTATTAAGGTCACACCAGCAGTGATTATTGCGTCAACTGAGTATATATGTATTACAGTTTTATCAACTACTAGACACTGAGATAAAGTCAATTCTCAAAAATCATGTAAGGACAGGTTGACACATGTATTGCATTGATCCATAAATGTATATTATGTTTATGTTTCAGGTTTGCTTCTCAGAAAGAGTTTTTACTTTCCACAACGCTGTGTACAGATTTGGATGTGTTAAAGAAAAGGTATAATGTTTTTGTTGTCGTCACCGAATTCACTGAGTTTTTGTAACGAGTACTCGTATAAATTGACTATGATTTACACTGATTAGATATCATATTTATATTGTTTAGGACTGCAGTGCCCAACCCGTGAATATGGCTGCTATCTTGGGAAAGAGAGCTGATGAGAAATCATGTTCAGTGTGTTGCAAAACTGAACATTGTAATATAAATGCTTGCAGCAATTATCCAGTAGGTAGGTTGTTGTGATGATATTTTGATATTTATAAGAATTTATAGCATTGGCTCTATCAATACATAGATGTCTTTAATATGTTTCCATGTACCTGAATACTTTAAACGAAAACAAAAAGAAGACAAGGTAAAATATAACACGACTTTAATTAGACATAATCTCTCTAGAATTCTAAATGAATATTTAGCTTTTACGATAATATCTAAATTTTACGAAATGTGGTTGTTGCTTGAATGAACAATTTCTAAATATGTATATATTATTCTTCCTGCAGGACAGATGTTTCCTCTTTCACCAATTTCTTCAGGTATTTGTACCGACTCCGACGCTGCTTTGTGTTCAACATTTGGTCGCCTTCGTGCAGACGCATGCAAAGAACAAATAGTATTAAATAGATGCCCATCGTCCTGCGGTGTTTGTGGTAAAATATTTCGAGTTATTTTTTATAGTTGAAAATTGTTAAAAATTGAGGGTAAAAAAGCTCATGACGCTTATAAATTGGTATGTCTTCGGCTTATAAATGAAACCCAGCTCCTTGTATGTTTTGTGATTATAAATATACATATATACTTAAAGAATAAAAGGAAATTATCTTTTTTAATTTCAACAAGGAAAAGAGTTGAATTTAATGTTAAATTTGTAACTTTTAATCATATCATGTTCGGGATAATAAAGTAAACAACATATTTATATGATTGCGGGTATAAACAGTTAAATAATTGTCATCCCTCGTAAAAATTTCCACTCGGCTAACGATGATATTTTACTGTTTCCCTGTTGTTTATGTACCACACAATAAAGTGATCTACTTTCATGTCTCCCGATAAATTGCCTTCCAAGTTTGTTACATATTTTATTAAATATTCAATGTCAATGATTACCGGAGGTAAATAAATATACCTCATAACTACAATAATATAATTTTATATGATTACTTACATATTTGTACATTCAAGAGGATCATAGAGCGTTGAATAAGTTATCATATTCAAACATACCTAACTTTTGTTTATGATTCAGCTCATATTGTATGGAGCCAATGGTCACCATGGGGTAGCTGTTCTGCTAGTTGTGGGCTAGGTACTCGAACACGATCGAGGACATGCCATCGACGCTTTAACTTTGTTGGTACTTGTGCTGGACCTTCTACCAGCAGCTCGACCTGCCAAGGACATAATTGTCCAGGTTCGGTTATTAGAAGCGTTCCCACTTTTACTGGCCATGCCCTTGGAAACTTTGTTAACTTATATCATGATTTGAATTTCTTAATGAAAGGGAAATACAAGGAACAATATAAAACTTAAATCCAAAGCCGGTTACATCTTAATAAATAATCAGTTATGAAATTATTAGCCTTTCCGTACCAGTTATAGTCACCTGTGTTTAAAATTAGCATGTATTTCAGTTAATGGTGGATGGTGTGTTGAGACAAGACAAGATTGCCATCATGTTTATAGTTCTTATATGGAGTGTACAAATCATAGAGATGTAACTACATGTTCCTGTCCAGCGCCTCAAAACGGTGGACTTCCCTGCAAAGAATAGTCTTGATATATTCATTATTAAAGAATGGCGATCTATGATGAAAATTTTATTTAGACACAAAAATCTGTCACAATGAGAATTAAGTCCTTGCTCTATGTTCTATCTTTATTTAGTTGTGTTCTGTTTAACGCGTATAAAGCTATATGCAATTTTTTTTTTAATTTTTAAAAATTATACTTCCAAAATGCTTGTAAGAAATGAATATGGTAGTAAATGCTTTAAAAGCCAGTGGTGCATGGAGAAAATCATTTCTTAACTGATTAAATCCTACTAAAAAGCAGAATAATACTTTGTTTCGGAACATTTTATTCTGTTTACATGCAATATTCATGTGCATTAAATAACAGAGACATTTTTCTAACAACCTTTTCAAGAATTGACTATTAGATTATGGAACCAAATCGGAACACCTTCGGCTATTATTCATAATAACCTCGAACCTAATTCGAAATGAAAGAAGTTCTACCACATGGTTTAAGATGTAAACAAAAACAGAGGATGTAATCTTTGATAATGTATAACGAATGTACATGTTTAACATCCAAAGGAAAATAAAGTCTATTTCGGTACAGTTTTGATTGAACATATGTCTGACAATCATAGTTAATTTAGAAATGCTAACTGATATGCAATATAACCAAATCCGAATGAATGTCAACAGGTAGACAATTTGTACTTTCGGTTTCCACACCCATAATAAAAAGTATATAAATAATGTAATGTTTACTTTTATATCTGTAAATTAACTTTGTTTTGATGGAATTTTACTCGCAATATTGGTACAAATATAGTCATCAACACCTAGCATTATGTTTCTAGGCGTAGGTTGGACTGTAATACCGTAACCGTTCTGTATATTCTTTTGTTCGAGGTCCTTATCCGAAGACTGACGAAAAGGACCGAAAAATTGCGTTTGTGAGGAACCACAACTGTTGATAAATTCTATAAAAATATTATATAAGATAAAGCGCCGTTCTTGACCAATATAATTGTGTAATTTCTTTGCAGAATTCAGCCGAAACATCGAATAAATATATTCTGTCACAAACTGTGTGCAAAGTCGCCACGTGACATTCGTTGATTCGTCAATTATAAAGATGTCCCTTGCATTTGTTGATATCAATAGGGGTTGTGTTTGAATGTGATATTATAATTAAAGCTGCTTGCCTCCAGATGAGCCAAACAATGTCAAGAAAATCTATTTTGAAAAAAGGGTCCAAAAGTTTTAGAAAAGTAAAACTATATATTCATAGATGTGAAATGTAATGAAAAAATAACTTATAAATACTTTTTAAAAAATTTAACAAACATTAACATGAATTTTTGGGCATGCCGCTTTAAGGAAACGAAGAAAGGGACTAGCTTAAATACGGCAATATGAATATTTTGTAATTAGCAAAAGTTAACATTTTTATTCATTTTGGTCTCGCACATTACGTACTATAGAAACTTTGATACGTAGAAATATGAACAACTTTTTACTAGTTGTGTTTAGTTTTATTACATGTATTACCTTAAACTAAAATCTAGCATAATGACACAAACACTAAATTAAGCAGTACAAATGTGTAATTTATGCAATAAAAATAACGCAACACTAACGGGTGTTGGGTATGTATGAACGTATTAACAGTGATTTATACAACAAATGTGGTTTTATTTGTATTACATAAATTAAGTTATGCTGCCACACAAACAGCTGTTAGAATATAGAGTTATTCTATGTGAAAAATATAAACAAACAAAAGAAAAAAAGATACTCGGCAAAAATAAAACTGGTTACTGTTTACTACTACGTAAATTCAGGTAATAAAAGATGTTATTGATATTACAGTTGTTTTTTTTTTCTTCCAATTTTGCATAATTATCAAAAACTGTCAACATAAAAAGAGTACCCAGATTAGGCGCATTAATTATACATACAGGACTGAATTTGAGAAATTGTGAATGCTAAGGGACTTTTTAAAGTACAAGTGGCACTTTGAGTGTTTTATCGAAGACGATGAAGTGAGTGTTCGTGGCCGAGTGGTTACGGTCGTTGACTTCAAACCACTGGCCCACTCACCGCTTTGAGTCCCGACAGGGACTTTAGAATCATTCATGTGAGGAGGTATCCAATTAGTTTACAGAACGTCGGTGGTTCGGCTCGTGCCTGAATGAATTCCGGTAATTGCACGTGAGGTCTTCTTACATTAGCAAAACTGAAAACACGCCATATGACCTATAATGTGTCGGTGCGACGAGCAAACAAATAAACTAAAGACAATAAAGGCGACTACAAAGGGTAAATTTGATTTTAAATTAAGATGAAGCTGGTTCGAATATAAAGGATACAATATAAATTTGTAATGCAGTTATACAACTCTTATTTTAATGTCATTGCTGAATGTAACTCTTTAAGTCATGTTTGCTTCATATACAGATGGAGTCTATCATTGTGAATTTTATCCTCTCGAATCCAACATATTTAAGCTAGTAGGTTTGTAGATGTGGCGGGAGTTTATAAACAAATGTATGACATATTGACCGAGGCGATAGCCGAGGTCAATATGACTTTCTGCCGGTGAATATCACATCATATTCAATGGCTCACTAGTCAATAATTGTTTTATTATATGAATAGGCTAAGAAATAAAAAAAATCACAAAAAGTACAAACTTATATACATGTACAAATTTTGGCTCGTTGTAGCGCGGGAAAAAAGACGCACGTGTTAGGCGTGCATCGACTTCGCAAACGCTGCGCATACAAAAGTAATTCAAGTTTATACTCAACATTGCGGTGTAGCCTTTAAGTAAAATGGTAATGTATTGATATTTTAATCGAGAAATATGCCATAAAGAACAAAAAGCAACAATTATTTTTTAAGTAACACGCGTATTTAACAGTCTACGGTGTATGATCATTGAATATGAGTCTCAATCTATTTTTAGACTGGGAAAATCCAATTCAGCCAGTGAATATGATACTACACCCAGTAAATATGATTTTATAAAAAGTTCTGTTGACTACTGTTTGGACCAATGAGATTGCAGATATATTTAGATCATATAATAAAGATAGTTATTACATAATACAGGAACTTTGATAGAAATATGAACAACTATTTATACGTTTTGTTTAGTTTTATTATATGTAGTATCTTTAACTAAAATCTAGCATTGTGACACAAACACTAAAGCAGTACAAATGTGTATTTTTGCAATAAAAAATAACGCAACACCAACGGGTGTTGGGTTTGTATGAACGTTGCAGCATTGATTTATACAACAAATTTGAGATTCGTTTTTAATGCATGAATTAACGAATTGTACTATATGAAAATTAACATTTTTTTCATCAAAATATTCACAATATGCAATATTTGAACACACGTTCAGTAAATCCAAACCGTTAAAACCAATTTATGTTAGTTATGCTGTAACAGTTATTTTTCCACAAACAGCTGTTACAATAAATATTCATTCTATGTGGTAATATATATCTTTAAAAAAAAGATACTCGGCAGAAGTAAAACTGGTAACGGCTTACTGCTACGTAAATTTTAGGTAATAAAAGCGATTATTGATATTGCAGTTTTTTTCATCCAATGGTCAGTTAGGATATTGAATATCAGAAACATAAAATAGTTCCAAGATAATGCGCATAAATTATACATACGGGACTGATTTTGAGAAATTGTGAATGCTAGGGAACTTTTTAAAGTACAAGTGGCATTCTGAGTTTTATTGGAGAAGATGAAATGGGCAATCGTGCCCGAGTGGTTACGGTTGTTGACTTCAAACCACTTGCCCCTCATCGCTGTGGGTCCTGACAGGGGCTTAATTTAGAATCTTTAATGTGTGGAAGCTATCCAACTAGTTTTATCCAAGTTAGGTGCCGGTTTGTGCCTGAATTAATGCACGTAAGTGCACCTGAGGTCTCCGTCCACCAGTATAACTTGACATACGTCATATGACTTATAATGTGTCGGTGCGACGAACAAACAAACTAAAGACGATGAAGTCGACTGCTAAGGATAAATTTGATTTTAACTTAAAATGAAGATGGTTCGAAGATAAAGGATACAATATAAATTTGTAAAATGCAGTTATACAGCTCTTTTGTTAATGTCATTGCTGATTGTTCCTTGAATGTAACTCTGTAAGTCAGGTTTTCTTGATATACGGATAGAGCCTATCATTGTGAATTTGATCCTCTTCAATCCCACATAGTTAAGCGTGTAGGTTGGTATATGTGGCGGGAGTTTCTAAAGAAAGCTTCATATTTTCATATATTAGTTGGAACTAAGCATGCATAATATGGTGCTTTTTACACTTGAAAAGGATCAGCTTCATGGGAAAAAATTATCAAAAACTTAAGGGGATTTTTCCCGCGGGATTAGTAAATTTTGGTCTAGTAAAAGTTTTCGGGGATAATGGTGATATACAATATAATCCTAAAACTTATGAACTTCCCCACAGCAAATTTTATGAAGGTCATGTAATAAGCAATTGATAAGGTTTTTTCATCTTTTTGTACAATTCCCGGCATAGTGTTAGAAAGGGTAAATTTTGGGGAATTTTTTAAGAAAACAGTTAATTTGATTTTTGATTAGCTCCCGGGGTTTTTTTAAAATAACTTTTAAAAAAATTTAAGTAAAGTGGGTTTTTTCCCCCAAAAACCAAAACCCATTTTTAGCGATTGATTCAAGTAACCAAATTTCCCCTTTTTTTTGGGTTTTTAAATCCGGGCCCTTTTCCCCTGTTTTAAATGACATCCAAAATTGAAATATTTTTTTTCAATTCCCCAATTTTTTTTTCAAAAATTATTTGGGAAATTTTTTAACCATTTTTTTGGGGCAAAAATGGAAAAGCCCCACCTGTTTATTTTTAAACAGAAAACAATTTTAAGACAAGCCGGGTTTTGCCACGTCAAAAATTTATTTTTTTATTTTGACATTATTTTGAAATTTTCCCCCTTTTTTTGGGAAAGTTATTATTTTTCTTTTTCGGGCAAAATAAATTTAAAATTTAAAAACCCGGGACCCTCGGGGAAATTTTTGGAAACCCCTAAAACCGGCCGATTTTTAAAAAGCCCAAAATTTTTTTTCCCTTTTTTTAAAAGTTATTTAAAACAAAATTTTCCTCTTAAATACCGGGAACCCTCAAAAATTTCCGAAAAGGGGCCCGATTTTTCCTGGCAAATAATCCCTAAGGGGCCATAAAAAACCCTCGGGTTAACGGGAAATTTAATTATTTAAGGGGTTAATTTCTGGGTATTTAATGTTTTTTCTTTTTTCGGGTTTTTTTACGGGGTTTTTTTAAATGTAACCCCTTTTTTTAATACGAGACAAAAAACTTTGTTTTTGGAATTTTTTCCCTTGTATTTGGAAAAATTTCCCCACAGTTCATTTCGCATTTTTTTGGTTTTTTTAAATTACTAAAGAATTCAAGTTTTGGGTAAAATTTTTAAATTTTTTAAAATTTTTGAAAAATTTTAATTCACAAAAAAAACCCTTCTAATTTTGTATTAGATATGTAAAAATTTTTCCTTCTTTTCATTCAGAAAATTTTTGTTTAAATTTGGTTCCCGAAGTTTTTTTTGGATCCTTCCCTTTTTCGGTTTTTTTGGGGGGGAGGTTTTTTTAAAAAAATTGGGGAAGCTTTTTTTTTTTATCTGGGGCCCCTGTTTTCGTCATCGTTTGCAATATAAGGAATTTGGGAATTTTGGGAAATCGGGGCCCAAATACTCGGTTTTCTGGATGTTCTTTTTTGAGGGCCCATTTAAATGCGTGCTGAAATTTTTTTTAAGGAAACTTTCGGGTTTTTAATTTTTTAAAAAAAAAAAGTGGGGTGTTTTTTTCAAATTTTTTTCCCGCCCCTTTTAAATTGTATTTTAAAAGAAAATAACTATTTTTAAATTTTTATTTATAATTTTGAAATTTTTTCGTTATTTTTTTGTTTTTCAATTTTTTTAAATTTTAATTTAATGAAGTAATTTTTTTTTTTAACCAATTATGAATAAGAAAATACAAACGATCAATCCCCTCGGGAAAGACTTTTTAAAAATTAAATTGGGCCTGGGGGAAAAATACTTTTTGTTTTGAAAATGAAGATATGTCCATTTTTTTTTAAAGAGTTTAAACCTTTTTTATTTTTTCCCTTGTTTTTTTTTTTTAAAAAATTGTACGAAAAAACCCAACTGGAGCCCCTTTTTCAGACCTTGGAAAATTTGCTTTATTTTTTTGGCATTTTTTTTAAAGGGGAATTTTGTTTTTTTTGTCGGGGCTGGGTTTTTTGCCCTCTCATTTTTAAAAATTAAAAAATTATTTTCCCCCCTTTTTGGGAAAACGAAAAAACCCCAAAATCATCTCCTTTGGGGGAAAAAGGGTTTTTGAAGCCCTGTTTTGATTTGGCACCCTCAATAAATTACCCGCTGGAAAAGCATAAGAATTTTGGGAGGTCGTGGCCCAACGAAAAACTTTTACTGGTTTTTTAATGGGAGGACGGGTGAGCAATTCACTTACATTATGGAAAACCAGGTCTTCTGATAGTTAATGTTATGGCGGGGCCGTGTGCATTTTTATGGATGACAACATCTGAAAGAAATTACGTTTCATGTTATTGCTGTTAACTTCAATAAAGGTACATTTTTCTGTTGAACGAATAAGTAAGTACTTAAAAAATTAATGTAAAACGTGCCCACATCTGCTTCCAAGTAAAAGTGAAATAAAACATAGTTATTTGTTAGTTGTAAGTTAGTTAGCAAAATATGTAAAAATACTTATGTGTATAACTGATGAAATATCAATATCTATATTCAACGAAATACTTCGTACACATCCCTAAGATTTCCGGTTAAACTTAACATGGATATGTCAAAAGTACTCCGCAGTGACTAGAAACTCAAAATTGTGTAAACGTAATGGTTTGTTTTCAGTTACATATTCATGTTACGTTTTACTGGTTACAATACTGCAACATCATAGCAGACGGTCTAGTTTCATTTTTTTTTTCGTGATATTTGTATACTCTTTACTTTTTGAAAATGTGTTTGGAAAATTGTTTGGGCGTGATAAATAACTACTTCTTACTTTCTTTGGACAATAAAGAATTATAATAAATATGATTATGTTTTATCAAATATTACTTAATAAAGCTAAAATATTCTTACTTTTCCAACCTAAATTTTCTATTGCCTTTTTAACTTTTTCATAAAAATCTCTTTTAATTTCTCTTGCAAGGAGTATTCCATTGTAGGTCTGATCTGCGTAAACTGTATCCTCCCAAACATATACAGCTGCATATCCCATTGGAATTTCAAGCCAGTCTTGTCCCGCTTCAATTTGTCTTGCAATGTTCATATTATTGGCCTTACCTGCCTTAAAGCAAAACATCTAATGATAATATTTTTATAATTATTGATAACCTACATTACATTTAAAGTCAACGTCTGTTAAGTAATAGAAAAAGCACCGAAACGCAAGACTTTCTGATTTCGACGATCAACGATCATGCTCTAGATAGACAGTGATTGCGGGTTACTTATACCTGCACTCCAGTTAACGCACTGTGCATGTATTGGTACAATGTATACGATTTAACTCTGATGCGTTTTCAATAGTAAAGTCTCCAAACTATTATAAAAAATCAATTTGTAAATTGTATCACAACCAATTATAACAAACACTCAAAGAAATATTAAAAAGAAATACCGATAGAGGCATTTATCAATATTTTGTGTCATACTATAAAATCAATAAAGTGTCGATATAAAAAGATTATACTTGTCTCACCTTTTTATTTACCTGCTGGTATTTGAAAGAAACATAACCGCGCGTTTTCACATCCATAGGAATAGTTTTGCATGTTACGATAGTGTCAAACTCATCAGCGTGTGATATTTTGGTCTTCGTTGGAAAACTTCCTGCCTTCTCTAAATTCGGGTTGTATTTTGCACCGTCTTCCGATTTTGTTACTACAGCCATAATTTTTCTAACAGTTTCTTCAGCTTTTGCCACTGCAGCTTTTCGTTCAGTTTTGTCTATTGCTATGTTGTCCTTATAAAATATATCCAAGTATTCTTTGACTCTGGAGCTAGCTTTAGAACTATGCCCAGTATCCTTTTGGTGCTGTTTAAGTCTGTCTTCGTTACCAAAAGAGTTTTTACAAGCAAAGCATGTTTTCCTTGAATATCCATGTTTAGCAAGAATGTCTCCTTTATGGTCCTCATACGCTCTGAAAGACTTAAATACTCGCCCGCATCTGTCATCACAATAGACACATCCCAGTCGTTTTTGGACATCATCTCTTTCACCTGAGCTCCAGTGATTCAGGCTTCTTTTATGTTGGTACAAGCTTAACTCGCTTTTAAAAGATCGACAACATTTAGAACATGAAAACTCTTTCATATTCCTTAGCTGTTCACGCTTATGATTTTCCAAACTTTGCTGGTCCATAAATTTCTTATTGCAGCTGCATGAGAATTCCGCATGATTTTTTCTGTTATGACAATCAAGTTGTGCTGCATTAGCAAATCGGTTTTCTCCACATGTATTGCATGCCATTTCTTATAAAATTAATTCCGTTATATAATCTGAATAACTGAATTATCAAAAATCGGATTATATATACTAAATTTACTCCATAAATATAATTTTACTACGTTCAACAAGTCTTGACGATAATATTGTCCTTTAATCAACGATTAAATTACACCTCCATTCAGCGGTGCAACTGAAATGTTATGAAATATAGATCCTATACAATTCCAATCCTATCAAATTTCTTAAATTTAACTTTTTTCTATATTCAATGAATAAAATATCGAATAAACTGCCGCTCGAGCACAATTAAACAATGAACCTATATTGATTCCTCTGTGCAAACATGTTAAGACATTTGTCATGCACATTTTCAAATATAACATTATAGGTTTAAAACCTATTTTCACTCATTTCACATTAAAACAAGAACCAGTGCATGGTAGACATACACCGAAATATACCATAATTTACAAAAGAGGCAGGTTTTCCTATTAAATCACAGACCTCTACATGACTGTTATCTGTTTAAATTGAAGTTAATCATAAGGAATGCACCACTACGTATCTGTACGAAAGACAGGTATGTGACATTTCACGTTCTCGAATTCATGATTTCAAGATTTAAATATTTCATTACTTTTAGAGTGAAATATTGACTTTTGAAATCGTGAATTCGTAAATTCATAATTTCACGGTTCTCTTAAAAAAAACTAAATAAATAAATAAATGAAATCGTGAAATCATGAATTCACGATTTCATTTTTTAAAGTAAAATTGTGAAATAATGAAATCATAATTTCACAATTTCTCTTTTTAAAAAAAAACTGAATAAATGAAATAATGAAATCGTGAATTCACGAATTCACGATTTCATTTTTTCATTCACTTAAAAAATGAAATCGTGAATTTATGAATTTACGATTTCATTATTTCACGATTTCATTTATTCAGGTTTTTAGGAGAAATCGTGAAATTATGAAATTGCAAAATCATGAATCTACGAATTCGCGATTAAGAAATTCAACATTTCACTCTAAAAGTTATGAAATAATTAAATCATGAATTCGTGAACGTGAAATGTCACCACCGGTCTTTCGTAACCAGAAATGCATGTCAATGTTCATGGTTCAATATTAGTATATTGATATTCAAGATAATCACGTTAGCTCGGTAAATTAAGCGTCTAAGGGAAAGACAACCCATACAGAAAGAGTCGGTTGAACCGGGTGATGCTCCTCGATAGGAAAGTATACATCTTGTAGTGTCAAGTTCATAGTGTAAAAATGAATAAAGGGCAATAACTCCAAAACAAGGCAAGGGAGAGTAATGGTTCTTTTGCAATGCACATCTACCCAAAGAGATCTATCTACCTAAGAAGTGTCTTGTTCATATCTATTATAATTATTTAAGAACTATGTCCTGAACAATGTTCAAACTTTAAAAATGAACGACGGGCAATAACTCCATAATTAAGCAATGCAGAGTTAAGGTTCTCTTACACTGCACTTCTTTTTAATGCGTTTCATAATGACACCAATTATGGTTTTAGAAATCTGTCCCGGACAAAGTTCAAAGTGTAAAAATGAACAAAAGGAAATAATTCAAAACTTAGGCAAGGCAGACTTATGGTTCTTTTGCAATGCACTTCTACCCAATGAGAGATATGTATTCTTACAAAGTTTCATATTGATATCTCTTATAGTTTAAGACTTATGTCCTGGAAAATGTTCAAAGTGTAAGAATGAACAAAGAGCAATGACTTCAAAGTAGGCAACACAGAGTTATAGTTCTTTTGCGTTGTACTTCTACGCAATGAGATATATCTAAGTACAAAATTTTATGTTGATATATTTTATAGTTTTAGAGTTATGTCCCGGACAATGTTCAAAGTATAAAATGTACAAAGGGCAGTAACTCCAAAATTATGCAAGACAGAGATATGCTTTTTTGCAGTGCACTTCTACTAAGTAAGATCAATCTATCTACAAAGTTTCATTTTTATAGTTATGTCCCGGACAAATTTTAAAGTGTAAAAATAAACAAAGGGCAATGACTCTAAAATTAGGCAAGTCAGTCGGACGAACGGTGAAAGCGACGAATATATGCTCACCCTTCCGGTAGCATAAAAAGCAATGGTCCTCCGAGTCCAGAGGGTTATGCTCCGGGTAAGCAACCCAGACATGTATATAATGCAAGGCTACAGAAACCGAGACCGAGGACATTATGACATAGGAGGAGACTGAAACCACTCAGGAAATTGAACCCATGACTTATGGCAATCAAATCCGTAAGGAAGCTGCCAGACAGAAGGTGGATGTACTCAACCCAAAAGAAGTTTTAAGGATTGGATGCTCGAACGTCCGCACTTTATATCAGACAGGCAAGTTAGCACAAGTCATAAAAGAGACAACTACAATATTCAAATGCTTGCGGTCAGTGAAACAAGATGGACTGGACGTGGCACCCAAAATCTTGCATTTGGACATAAGATTTTTATTCAGGAAGAGTTGATGACCATCATAGATGTGGAGTTGGTATGATTATAACAAAAGACATGAGTAAATGCTTACTGGGATGAAAACCATACAGTGATAGACTTTTGTCTGCAAGATTTCATACAAAATAACAGTCGTAGTTTGTTAAACGTTAAAAGTTGATTTAAAACAGCTAAATGACCCAGCAGTAAGAACATCATTCCAAATTGAAGTGAAGAACAGATTTGAAATTTTCAGAAATGAACAAGAGCTACCCATTGATAATTTCAACAGCATCTTGTAAGAGAAAGTGTAGAAACACTACATAATAAAAGGAGTATAAAAGAAGAATGGGTATGATTAAGAATTTGGAAATTGGTTTGAAAAGAGACGCAAGACCAAACAATATATGCTAACAACAAAATCAGCTAGAATCATTGAAAAATTAAAAGAGAAATACTCAGAAGAAGATATACAAGTGTACATAAAGATAAAAGAGATTATGTTGACAAACTAGCACAAGAAGCAGAACAAGCAGTCTTCAAGCAAGACACGGATACGCTATATAGAATATCTTTAAATTATTGAGTACAGGGTTTGCAAGCACAGACACACAAGTACGTAAGCAGAACGGACAATTTGCATCTAACCTCGAAAAAGAATTGGCTTGTTGGAAAAGAAAACACTTTGAAAAAGTTCTAAACCAAGATCTACCACACCCAGACGCAGTTATTAACAATAAAGAAGACATGTTAGACATAAACATCAGTGAACCATCACAGGAAGAAGTTAAAAGAGCTATCAAATCTCTTACAAATGGAAAATGGACTATTTATGGATATGGACTATTTTACTTCTTTATATTTTGCCTATATGTGAAACTCTTACTTCAACTACTTGGCTTTTAAATAATGTACATAATAAAATCATATTGCTGTAACAACATGATTCAGAAATAAAGATATCCAACTTATGTATATATGTGTATATTTAACTTGGTAACCCACTTGATAATAAATAAACACTGGATAACTGGATAACTATTCGTTTTCTTGGAGAATAATGTCTTTTATAACTTACGAGCTAGATTTTTAACAGGTAATTAAAAAAACCGAACCCTTGAACTTAAAGAATTCAATCTACTTTGTTTTATACGTGATTTTCTCAGGTATTAGAATATCATCTTGTAACATATGCTTTGAAAAAATGCAATCAAAGACTTTTGTACTTTTGTAAAAGGTATTATGCCAATCACGAATGAGAGCAAATATTATATTTTTTGGATAATTTTCCATTTACTGTTGGAAGTAAATCTCTGGCTTCTGTGTTTAAACATGTCGACAGGAACCCGAGCAATGATTTTACATGTAGCTTAGAAGAAAATCGTACTAAAACATGTTAGTATAAAAAAATACATGTTATACTAAATACATGTTATACTTAATAGTAATACCACATAAGTGTAATAATAAATACATGTACATGTTATACTAAATACATGCTATTTTAAAACATGTTATATTAAATTCATATTATATCAAATATATGTTACTCTGCATACATGTTATATTTAATACATGTTACACTACATACATGTTACATTCAATACATGTTATATCAAGTACATGTTACAATGCATGCATGTATTATTAAATGCATATTACAAATGTATATATTCAATACTTTTTACACTGCATGCATGTTATGTTGAATGCATGTTATATTATATACATGCTACACTGAATACATGTTATATTGGATACATATTATATTAAAAACATGTTACACTATACATATGTTACATTAAATACATATTATATGAAAAACATGTTACATACACGTCATACATGTCAAATGAAATACATGTCATTTTAAAAACATGTTAGACTACATACAGTTACATGTTAAATACATGTTATACTTAAGATATGTTGTACTTGATTGTAAAACTACATGCATGCTATATTAAATACATGTTATTTAAGATACATGTTATGTCAAATACACGTTATATTAAATATATGCTACACTACATACATGTTTTTTAAAATACATGTTCTAGCAATTATATGGTATACATAATACATGAATCACTAAATACATGTAATAATAAAAAAAAGATCTCAAAACTTAAATATATATCTAAGCTCAAAATATAGAGGCCTAGTTCTACGTGTTTCGTATTAAAAAGTACTTAAAAATATAGACAAGGCACGGGTGTTTCAGAGATCAATTGGTAGGAAAAAATAAGTCTTATGTCAATTACAACATTTATGTGTATGAATTTGTTATTTTTAAGCAGGTAAACTAAGAACTTATCAATTCAGAAATACTGATTACATATTTGGTTTATACAGAATTTATTTTAGTTCGATTGTGTAGGAAGCTATAAGATAATAGACACACTTTCGAATCCGTTCCTGGAACCAACCAGTACTGAGCAATGAGTGTAAAGTTTCTTGCTCAAGGAAACAACGCCAGGCCCCTGACGGGGTTTGAACCCATGCGGCTAGCGATCATGATTACATATTTGCCTGTCGGTAACAACATGTGCACACCGTGATCAGACGGCAATGATATGATGGTTGATCTTAAATTGTACTGAGGCCATGGATAGAATATGTTGCTACCGGCAGGCAAAAGTGGCATAGTGTTCATTTTTATTTGTCAAGTTGAGCCGGATTGTCTGTAT